TTCGGAAGAATGTGATGGGGAAGATCAGGACCCGTCCCTCCCCCCCCCGCTCCGCCCCCACGGGGCGTTATGGGTGGCACTATTCAGGTTGGAAGGCTTTGGCATTGGCAGTTGTTGTAAGGACCTGTTTGCAGAAAGGGGGGCTGTGTTTCAACCAAATGGCCGTGTCAAATCGACGTTGTCGTTTTTTACTAGGGTCGACCTCCGTGGCGGATGATTTCTGGGAGGTAGACCGACCCTTTCATCCAAAGACGCAAGCCCATGTCAAACCTGGCGCCATGCTTGTGTTTGCTGGGCTTTGGTGCTTCTGGCTGCTTCGAGGATGCAGATACCTGATCGGGGGTGCGCGGCTTGCGGCCGAACAAAATGTGCTGTGGGGGCGCCGGGAGTTTGAGGCGCAAGGCCGTTTTGCAGGTTTGAGTTGTGCTTTTGGGGTAGGGTGCGAAGGCGTTGTTTGCTGAAACAAATTTCAGGCTTGCAGTAACAAGCCCAGAAGAAAGTGAAAAGTTTCCCAATCTAGGCGGCAAGCATGCAAAGCTCCGTTCTAGCAATGACCCCCAGTGCTCCCAGGTCCACTTTGCAAGCTTCGGCATGTTCAACTTCAGGTCATTTTCAAGGGCTCAACCTGTGGTCGAGACCCACTTTCACGAACCGAGCTTTGTGCGGTCCAGGGTCATTGGCTTCGCGGGGCCGTGGCTCGGGGGGGCGATGGCTCGGGGGTGGATGCCATCGATGCCATTCGGGCCTTGGCACCCAGGCCGCGTCTTTCGGACGCTGAAGAATCCGGCGCGGGGACGGGCCACGGGAACTAGGGGGGCGATTGGTTCTTTTTTTTGTTGGTGGGTGGAAACTGGAGGTGTAAGACCACAAAACGGTTGCCAGGGGACTGAATGAAGCAGAGCCAGTTGTCGACTTGAGAGAACTTGGGCGATTGATAGGGTTTTGATGGAGGCAAGGCAGAAGGAACCAAAGTTGCATGTTTCACACCTGAAGGTTCACCCACGGGCCGGGGCCCACACTGTTTAGGCCTTCTCTTGCTCAATGAGGCTAAGCCTCTGACTCGTAGCACAGGCAGAGGCCATGTGGGATGCAACTTTTGGATGCTCTGGCCGGAGCTTCGGCAAAGCGCATAGGGAGCTGGCTGCTTTGAAGCGTAAACTCGAATGCGGTGCGGGGGAAACCCCTTCCCTGCAAAGAAACTCTGCAAGGCAAATAATGTTGACCCCTTATTAGTCCGTACCCCCCCCCCTTGAAGGTCAGAAGATTTTAGGGCGCTCAAGATTTTGGAAGGTTTTTAAATACAACGTCAACATTACCTCAAGCTTGCGAACACTGCGATGAAATGACTTGTTCGTTGGCACCAGCGAAATGGTTCCTGGACGAAAATGGTCCAAGCCCCAAAACGTCAGGCTCCGTGTCCGTTGGAGGCTTATCAGGGCAGAAGCCGGCTTTCGGAGGAACCAAACTGTGAGAAGCGTTGGGATGACCTTCAGGCTAGTTTGGCAGCCGATGCGAACCAGGCTTCCATTGCAACCCGCCGCAAGCTCGCACAGGTTGCAACGCTTTAGGTCTTGTCAGGGGCTCAAACACCCAGGGCTTTGCTTGTTGGGTGCTACAAATTGGCTGTGGAAGGCCTCCCCCAATGGGCCAGGCTGGGCATGGCAGGTCTGGCGCGCAAACTTTGCCATCGCTGAGTGGCGAGAGGACGGGCGCTGCACTTGGAGATGCGGCCCAAGCAGGGCTCATGACTTTGGGCTGATCCAGGTCAGCCAACGTGTTTGTTGTCCCCCCTACCCTACCTAAGCGGGCGACTTTGGCAAAAGGGGGCCAGAAACTCGGGGTGGACGGAACAGTTTTTTGTTTTTTTTTGGCCTAGCCCTGGCACAGGGCTAACCCTGGCTGGTGGTTGGTTGGTTGGTTGGTTGGTTGGTTGGTTGGTCGGTTGGTTGGTCGGTTGGTTGGTCGGTTGGTTGGTTGGCGCCTCGGGAGGACGAAGGTTTGGGATGGGTTCAGGGTAGGTTTAGGGCAGGTTTGAGGTAGTTCGTTTAGGGTAGGTTCAGGCCCGGAATCGCTTTAACATCCTCAGCATCGTTTTCAAAATCCTCAGCATCGTGGCACCCTACCTTAAACCACCCTAAGCCCACTTAAGCACAACCACGACCGAAGCCAAGCCCCGTTAAAACGATGCCGGGCCTTATCCTACCCTAAACGGCCTACCCCAAACCCACCCCAAGCCTTTGTCCGTTAGTGTCTCCTTTCGTGCACGCCAGGCTGTGCCAGGGTTAGGCTAATGCCAGGGCTATGCACAAAAAAAAACAAAAACACCTCAGCCCGGCAAGCGAATGCGACTGGAGGAGGAGGAGCCGGACATGAGCCCCGAGGCCATTGTGCAGCGGCTCTACCTGAAGGCGAGAGGTTCAAATGGTGCCATATGGGTGGCTCGTCCTTTTTTCGAGGGCACCCGTTGAGGGGTTGGTTTTTAAAGGGAAACCAATGAAAAACCACTTTTTTTTCCCGGGGGTTCCCTCAGAAGACACCACCCAACCACCAATCCAACCCACCAATCAGGGGGAAGCTGCGGGGAAGCTGAGTGTTTTCGCGGGAAGGCATGGGAAGGGCTGTTTTTTTTGGTCTATCGCCTCAGGTGGAGTATGAGACGCTTCGGCGGCTCCCGCAGCACCCAGAGTCAGAGCCTTTGGATGTGTTGTCCAAATTTTGGTGTTGCCCATGGTTGGCTAGTATGCCATCCCCAGCGCACTATGGGATTTGGGGGAGGGGATTTTGAATTTTGGAGATCTCCATTGGTGAAAAGAAAGCAAGACGTCTCACATGGGAGATCGTTTTTCAAAAACGACGGCCTCCCGGGCATACTAGCCCCCTTCAAGGGGGAGGGGGGTTGAAGTTCCCAATCCCATTTACCAATCAGAGAAATAGCTCTACACTAAGCTGATGCCAATTGAGCAACACGGAGACAGAAGGAACATGGACCCCCCCCCAAACCATGCCTGCCTGTAAGTGACACAAGCGCTCGAAAACTATCGAAAATTCCCATTTGGCATCGCCTTCCAGTGCTACCCTTTCTGCTGTGTAGTTGCTCTGATTTTCCAGAGAAGACAGAGTGAGCATTCAGAGGACACAGATCACCTGTGAAGTTTCTCGCCACAGCCGCGCCTCGGGCCGAAAGATGGGCGAAAGATGCGCCAGGCGCGTCATGGCCAGGTCAAAAGAACCAACATGGCCTCGAATCGAATCGATGGGGTTTTCCCTCCCTAGCTGAAAACGACCCGCCCATCAGCTGTCGAGTGGCGGAGGGCCTGTGACCTGTAGGTTCTTGGTGTTCACCATCCGGCCCTACTTGGAGCCTTTGACTGCTAGGGTCTCAGTGGGTTTCTGGGCGGTAGCATTGCCGAATCGGATTTGCAAGGTGGCTTGGGCTTGGGCATGTTTGTGGGGGTGTCACTGGATTCAGGAAGGGCCGCGGAATGCGGATTTTCCATTTCAAGAGCAGTTTGATGGCTGAGTTTGCTCATTGCTGTTGCCGGCCTCCTTGCTTGCCTGGCTGACGAGGTAATTGCGATGCTGTTGGGGTGCTAGAGTCATATTGTGTTGCTTTGCCTAGCTTATTGTTGCTTGGTTGCTTGGGTTTGCTCGTGTTGCATGTTTGTTTGCTTGCTTGCTTGCTTGCTTGCTTGCTTTGTTCGTTCGTTTGCTTGCTTGCTTGCTTGGTTTGGTTGTTTGTTTTGTTTTGTTTTGTTTTCCGTTGTTGTTGTTGTTGTTGTTGTTGTTGTTGTTGTTTTTGCCTGCTTGTTTGTTTGTTCGCCGGCCGGGCAGTCTATCGGTGGGTTGCTTGGGTTATTTGTGACATGTTGGTCGAGTTTCAATGTGTTGCAGCGATGTTGCCGCTCTGTGCGGCGTTTGGCAGCAATGCTTTCCCCACCGTGTCTGTCAATCTCTTCGCCGTGCACCCTGAATCCTGCACCAGCGGCATTCGACTTGGAAGCAGGGTCAGTTCCCCTTCATCGCCGCCGGGTGTGACCTGTTGCGACCCTTCGGGAGAACGTCCCCAAGGGCACCTAGCCCTACGAACGCAACGGCGGTTCCGATTTTGTTTGATTGCTTCTTCGTTGGCTGAGCAGTCTATCGGTCGTTTGGGTAGTGACATGAGTTCCTTTTCTAGGTCCCCCAGTAGTGCCCTTTTACCTTTGGGGGAGGGTTCCCCTACCAAAATAGACTACAGAAAAAAGTTGGTACCCTTATTCCAACCTCTCTACTGAAGGACCTAGTTTTGGTGCGTTTGGCACCCAGGGCCCCGTTCCAGGCCTTGGGCGCCATGCCCCTGGCCTGCCGGCGCCTGGCGAGCCAGATCCGGAGACTTCCACAGGCCAGACGCGAGACGCCGACGCGCCGACCTGCAGCGCTTGGCGTGTTGGAGGTAGGCCCCTGTGGTGGTTTTCGCGGGGAACCAAAGGGAGCTCCACACATTGCCGGGGAGAAACCGGCAAAGGGCTAAATGAATTTAGGTTTTCATGTGCAAGGGTGCCAAATTTGGCGGCCGCCGGGAGAGTAGCACTTGGCACCTCGCACAAAGGAAGCGCGCGACTCCCGGCCCATGTCGCCAATGGTCGCGAGCAAGCAGCGGAGCGTGGCATGTCCCGCATGGAAAGAGCCTATGGGGGGGGTTGAAGCTGCCCTTTGTGGGGGGTGTTTTCAATGGGATGTGATTAGGACAACTACAGTCTTTGGGGTCCCCATTTTGACATAGCCATATATAAAGACCATGGATGGCCGAGTGGTTCCTTTGATTCCCTGACTCGCATGTGCCAGACTTCCGCAAAGACAACCGCCACTGGGCAAAATCTGGGCCCGGCATTTTTTGCCGGAACCGTTGCATGCGTTTTTGTTTTTTTTGCACCCTGGAATGGTTGGTTTCCTTTAAAACCGTGGAACTACCAAGCAAGAGGGGCCTTGAACCATTTTCGAACCCTCCAGATCCCACCACC